GATTTTGTTCTTGGGTAAGTCTATTTATGTTACCTAAGCAATTCTCCCCCCCCCCCAACAACTATATATGCGTCATTCAGTGACTCAGGAGATAACATATTGTCTGTTTATCGTCACTTTAAAATGGTGCAGATGTTCTGCTATGGTTTTAGGGGAAAAGCAGCTAATGTACTCAGACTATACTGTGTTTATTAAGTTATCAAGAAATTTAAATTTTACAAGGAAAAAAAATCTATCATCACCAGTAACTCATTTAATGTTGCTAGAAATATTGGAAAACTACAGGCTCAACAGAGAAATTAGAATTTTAAATTAGAATTGTAGAATTCTAATCTGTTTCGGAAAATATAAATTGTAGATGTTGCTGCATTTTCCCTACAGATTTTCCTGTTAGCATAAAGAATGGAAGGGTGAAAGTATGAATCCAGGAGTTTCCCAAATCCCAAACCTTTTGTTCAGTAGGAAAGAAAGATCCTCAATTCTGTTTTTGAAGTGAAAGATTTGCTTTTACTAAAGTCAAGCGGTTATAGCATTAGCAAAGCTGGTTCTGAATATTCCTGCACAAAACTGTGGTTTTTTTCTCTCCCCCTGGCCCTCCCCCCCCTTGACCAGTCCATCAGTGTCCAATGATATTTGACTTTGATGTTTTGGGAATGGCTTTAAAGTTTGGCCGCCTCTTTGGTGGAGTTTCACCTTCTGTTCTCACAGCTCTGCCCTTGATCGGCTGGGTCTGTTCCAGATTGACACCTCTGGATCCTGTCATTGTGAAAAAGTGACAAAAACAGCTTAAAAGAGCTGGAGTGTGCCAACAACACCTTTGTGCCATGCTCTTGGAGCTGTATGGGGCTGGCTTTGCATTGGGAAAAGGGGGGGGAAGCACAAAGTAGCCCCTCCCTGAGCTGGAGTGGAGAAAAGGATTGTTTTGTTCTGTTCTATTCGCTTTGTGTTTCTTCCCTTTTTCATGACACAAAGCCAACCCCCTACAGCCCAGAAGCCAGACCAGGCACACCTCAGCAGCAGCAGGAGGAGCAAACGGTAGTGATGGCCAGCTGGGGCAGTGGAGCACAAGGCAGCAGGGGTCTCAAGAATGCTGGGTAGCAAGGGGGACCGGAACTGGGCTTGGCTGACTTCAACTTCCCAGGGCACAGCAAGCAGCTCAGAGCTGCATGGTTTTGGGGCTGCTTGCTGGTCCGCAAGGTAGGGTACAGGATGGCCAAAATGGCAGAGTTGAGGGGTAAGACAGGTGGGAATTGGAGGCAGTTCCTTACCTTACTGAGGCTTGGGGTAGGTAGGATGACCAAGCCTAGAATGGCTTGCATTGGAGTGGGTACTCTGCTAACCACCACTTAATAATGGTAATGGGGATTTCTGGGAATGTGGTCACTAAAACAATGCAATCATGTGATATCCATATTTCTTAGAGCAGGGCTTTTCAACCAGTGGTACGGGTATCACCTGTGGTACATTGGCACCTGGCAGGTGGTACGCGACCATCCTAGAAAAGTAGCGTGGGAGAGGAATGAGCTGAACCGGTGGCAGCACTGTACAAGCCTGAGCGAGAGATGGCTGGAACTGCAAGGCTGTCAGGACTCAGCAGAAGCGCCAGGATCAGCGCTTCTTCGGGGCTGTCTGGGCTCAGTGGAAGCACCAGGATCAGCGCCAGGCTCCAGCTGGAGCTTGGCGCTGATCGTGGCGCTTCTGCTGAGCCCAGAAGAAGCGCTGATCAGCTGGAATGTTGCAGCATCTCCAGGGTCTTGTGATTTACATTCAGATGCTTGGCAACTGATTCATATTTATGATGGTCACAGTATCCCAGGGTATACAGTATCCCAGCAGACGGGGGCAATAAAAACCAAACACCCCCACCCCACCCCCGCTGCCAATCCTCAACAGAAATGCTCGCAACAATGAAAACCTCGGATAGGAGGAAGAGCACCGCTGGGCAGGCAGGCAGGTGTCTTGCTCAGCTGTGGCTTGGGGGGGCACTTTTTTCAGTGCCATTGTAACTTCAAACAGTCACTAAGCGAACTGTTGTAAGTCGAGGACTATCTGTACTTCATCACTTTTTTCCTTTTTTTTTTTTTTTTTGATCATCAAGTTTTTGACATCTTGCTAGGTGACTGGTGGTACTCGGATGTTGCCATATCCTAAAGTGGTACAATGGGTGAAAAGGTTGAAAAGCCCTGTCTTAGAGACTGACATTCCAGTCTCAATTGTGGTCATAAGCTGAGGCCTATCTTAAGTTTTTTTTTTAATGCACATACACCAATCACAGCCAACCCCTGGGTACAAACTTGTGATGAGAGTGCCAGGTTTGTGAGATTTTATAAGGCTCAAATCCATCTTGTTTTGAAGATGTATTCATTCATACAAACTGGTTCTAGTTATTCCTTTACTTCGGTTGACTGAATTGGATGGAAAGATTAGTTTTTCAGAGTTATACGTTACATCGCTTTATGAATAAACACCAAGAATCATTTTTCGGCTTCCTTTTATATATATATATCCCCTAGGACCCACACATAATATTTAGTGACAAAGGTATGCAAAACCTCAGTTATAATTCCAAAAGAATAAATTATTTTTTCCTGAATTGTTTTGATTTAGACCAGGCATGTCCAATCCGTGGCCCATGGGCTGCATGCAGCTCACAAGATAGTACATTTTTAACATTATATGATTTTATATTATAAAACTATATATTTTATATGTGGCCCAAGACAATTCCCCTTCACTCAATGCAGTCCAGGCAAGCCAAAGTGTTAAGACACCCATGTTTTAGATCAAAGCTTATAAGGAACTACTTATGTCATTGCAAATCAGGGTCTAATAGACAATTTAAGTATTAACTTGGTTCCCTAAGCTACTGCTTGATTTAGCCATGGATTATGGAACAAACCACAGTGGCTGGATTCACATTAACCCACAACCAGCCCTAACTATCCTGGTTTAATGGATGGGCAAATCCATTCTAGAGATAATAGAATGATTTTGGTTATATTTAGGGCTTTTTTTCTCATAGAACGCCCAGAACGGAGTCCCGGCACATTTTTGGGATGGAACATTATAGGGTAGGCAAGGCAGGTTTGTATAACCTGTGTGAGTTCCAGCATTTTTTTTTTGTTATATTGTAACTTAATCCTGACCATTCCTTTAAATCAGTGGTTCTCAACCTTTTTAATGCCGCGACTCCAACCGGTCGTAAGTCGAGGACTAAACCGGTCGTAAGTCGAGGACTAAA